TCTTCCTTGTTTTGGCGAGGCAAGTAAACTGCGTCAATTCTTTTAATTAAAAGAACTAATCGGATAAACCGAAGCTAACCGATAAACTGTGAACATCAAATCATAATAGAAGAAAGGAAAATCAACGACTGTCTTAGCGGCCGACCTGTTCATTTATAGTCTACTAAAACGTTAGGGCGTAAACAGAACGACAAAAACTGTAGTGTACACAAAGACTACGTTTCATTTAACCACTGATTCTAAGCTAGAGAAGAGAAAACGACGTGTAAACGACGAATTTAAAAAACGAGCTAACAACGCAAAAATTTGGCATTGGTTGTCGCCAAACCAAAATTTATTCATAGTGTGTTTATGTTTTTTGTGCGAGTTTGTTTTTAAAATTCATAAAGACAAAACTTTGAACGTGAGAGATAATACCCTTTGTTTTAGATAAAAGATGGAATTGCAAATTGTCATTGTGGTCGCGGAAACCATTGTTGGTTCGTTGTGGTCGGTGGTGAACTCAAAACGAGACTTACTATTTTTTTTTTTTTTACGCGTTATTTTTCAAAACAGCCAACGCCAATAGACGTTCTTTTTAATAAATGTCCCTGCTTCAGCATTGTTTTACAGCCGATGCAAAGTTTCTGACATCCTTTCTAACCATTACCATGCATTGTGACATGGTGCCGACCGTACATTTTCTTTCTTTTTAATTTTGGCTCAACATTGTGCCTTCGTTTCTTCTTTTAATAGGGAGCTCAAGCAAAGGCATTCGACGCACGTCAATAGGAAGAGTAGACCTTTATCTTTTTTAATATGTCATGAAACCCAAACTTATATTACTAATAGTCTTAATGGAACGCTTTGCCCGAAAATTTGGGCATCATACTGCTCGGCAGAATACTGCCCAAGGATTCAAAAAACGCACTTTCGGTTGAGGTGCATTTGGCTCAAAACGTCTTTGCTCAAGCTCACTGATTAAAATGCTGAATGATATCAACATGTAGAACGTTGTGTCTCCACTTCTCCTTCTCACTTGATCTCCCAAACCTGCGTCAAGGGCAAAACGCTTGAATTTGCGGTATCCCGTTCTTCATTCCCCCTAGGTTTTCTTCACCTTTTTAAAGGTACTTCAAGTACTAAATAATATCTATTACTTTTATTGCGCATTTGAACATTAAAAGATATGATCAAATGCGCAAGTACCTGCTATGTAATATATTCAGCCGGATCTCCACTGACTAGCTGCTTGTTAAGGGGTGCACTGGTTGGTAATACAGTCTATTATAACTCAGAATCATTCATTATATACAGTCAGTAGAACCTCGATTTTTTATTCGGATAACTTGAATTCTTCGCTAACTCGAACTAAATTTCCTTTCCCTTGATCAAAACTTCACTGAAATTTACCCTGATAACTCAAATTCATTTTCCCCTCTAACTCGAACTGCTTTTCGTTTCCCTTCAGAGTTCGAGTTAACTGATCGTTACCGTAAACCGGTCGCCTCTAGCTTACGGAAGAGGTTGCTAGCAGAACTTCGACCGCATATAGAAGGTTTAAAAAGTTATTGAACCCTATTATCACGGCAAAATATCGTCATTTGTTGGAGTCTCTCACAGGTCAATTCCCTTCTTAAGCCCTCAGCTTTGGCAAGTGGTATTTCGCTTAGCAGCGCACAAGAATTAACAATTTTTTGAAGTCACCTCAGATGGTAGTATCTCCAAGAACAATTATGTGCTAAAAAATAAATCTACTCTTAATTCATTCAAAGGCACCAGACGAGAAAGATTATTACGAAAGCTTAGGGCAGAAAAAAAAAAGGCATATAATCTTATTAAGTATACGTGTCGACAAAACTAGAGGATGTTTATTTATAATCAGAATCAAAAAGCTTTTTTGTCTTCAAATCTTTTTGTCAGCAGATCTCATTTTTGCTCCAAAATCAAGCGTTCTAAGATGATCGCCTCCTTTGCCCGCGAGCAAAAGCAAAAATCAGAAACAAACAAACAAACAAACAAAAGTAAGTAAATAACACCTGTTTAGTTTTCACAACGAAAGATTTGATGATTCGAAACAAAATTGTTACTGCTGCTTAGCCAGTTTCTGTACACTTAAAAGACTCTTGGTAAATGGATTGGATACATCGATCAGTTATAGAGCCATTAAATAACGGTAAAAACGAAACGCGAACTGTAGCAGTTATACATGTGCAAGCAAAGAAGCCAGAACTGTTTTAAATAATAAGTTGCGTCTTTGTTACGATGAGAATTAACCTTTAAGCCCCAATATCTACATACAAATTCTCCAGACTGTTTTTGGTGATCATTTTATCAACTCTCATGACTATTTCCTTTGATTGTGCTGATATTGTTAGGAGAAAGTTCATGTTGGTCACTCTCATGACTTATGAAAAGGGTTAAGTCATTTTAAATCCCATTGGTAAGGCACATTTTGTCTATTTATTAAAGGGGCTACGTCATGGTCATCGGGTTATTGCTGTTTTAGGCCAATTCTGTGCTGAAGTCGTTACTTAGTACTTTTACCTATAAACAAAATGCTCCTTTAGAGTAATGATGAAAATATAAACCAAACAAATTTCATCAGAGAGCACTGACGAGAATACTTTTCTAGTGATTTTTGCTGGCATGGCATCAAAACTAAGTTTTAATCGACATACATCCTTGCCGTTCGTAGAAACAGACGACAGGAACCAGTTTCAATGCCTATAAAATATGGTCTGAAATAACAAACCTGGACCGTCACTTTTAGAATTCAATTGATGCAAAGATAAAAGATAGCAAATAGCATGACATAACCCCCTTTAAGTACACGTCTTGTTAATTTTTGCTTGCATAAATTTCATTGTGTATTCATTAAATAGATCATAACCAAAAAGTCACTGAACTCTTTACCTGACCAATAGTGTCAACCAGTAATTTAAGAGCTTTTTAATCATGGACAAGTCTGTATAAATTTGACCAATGTACTCTCTGCAACATTCAATATTATAGCAAATGATACATTTAAGGTTCTGTTTCCCGGGCGGGGAGGTACTTGGGTAAATTTTTGCTGTGTATGTGCCATTTCGATAACGTCCTGTTCGCCAACGTCTAACGTATCCTCCGACCCAAATGAAAAATCAGGGGAGTTCCTATGGGCCGGTGCAAGGTTGACACTTGTTTTACGTTTGTACTTTTTGTTATAGGTGCCTTTTTTTCGGGGGGGTGGAGGGCTATTCTAACCTTAATGAGTTCACCTTCGGCTGAAACATCGAGGAAACGTATTTTTCGGTTAGGATGATAGAAAAGATAACTCTCCAAGGGCGATCAGTTGCTATCAGGATAAGACAACGAAAAGTGTCAGTATTTTCAAGGAAACCATAAAAAACACAGAAAAGGATAAAGTGGTTACACTTTAGAATAATTAATAATAATAATTTAATAAGTTAAGAAACTTTGGGATCTCAAGTTACTTCTTTCTTCATAAATGCATTCGAACAGGCAAGGCTGCAAATACCCTAAAATTCCGAAAATAAGCCCCGGGGCTTGTGTTTTTTAAAGGCCCTTTTTGGGGGGCTTATTTTTGGAGGGGCTTATCTACGGAGGGAAATTTGCGTTTCAAAATCGATTGGGCTAGCCTTATAGTTAGTTACTTTGTATTTGAGGGCAATTTCCTAGTACAAGTGCCCGCCGGGCTTATATTTGGAGGGGCTTATACAGCTGCATTGGATAGATCGATATTGTGAGACTGTACGGGAATATCTCTGTTAAGGAGCGGACATAAGGAGTTCAATCTTGTTTCTTACATACTGTAAGACACCGTCTTTTATTGAAGCAATGATTAAAAGCTTTCATTAATTCAGTAATGCCTGACACGTTGAAGCAAACTAAACTGACATGCAAGAAATAAAACAAAGATGCTATTAAGATAATGCAAAGGTTTGACAAGAATCTCAATGTTACGAATAAAAACATTCCAGTTTTCCACTGTTTGAGAGATAATCTAGCCTGCGTGCCAGGCGTTCCAAAGGAAAAGAAAAGGAGATTTTGGGTGCGTGAGAAGCGTGAAGGGCGCGCGATGAATGAGGAAGGAGAACGCGTTCCTCTCCTTGCTTCTCCCTCGCGCGCGGTCTCGCTCTTACATTCCCTTCCCCCGCTGCCTTTCGAATGTTTGCCACGTATGCTAGAGATTATCAAGTTATTCTATCATCATATTCATATTCCTAGCTAATTGATATAAATTTTACAAGGTGCGATTTTAATCCTCGAAATCTAATCCGCTTTTAATAATGACCTTGCCTCGAAGCGGTTTGGCTACAAAAGGAATCGTGCCGTTTGATTTAATTAAGCACGATTTAATTAAATCGTTTTCACTTTCGGATTGGATTAAAGATTTTCCAGACGAAAATATTTCAAATGCGACGGTTACCTCTTCCGCAGATTTTTTTTTCGTTGAGATGAAAGATTATATCGCGACCTCTACTTTGACTACATATTATAGACTCAGGAAACGACCGACAACCTGATGGTATACATAGTAACCCGAGAAAGAATGGGTTCCCCTGAAGCTGTAGTGATATATTATCCATAACATTTCATCTACAAAATGTATCGCCAATCAATCGCTCTTAATCACAGCCATTTTGTCTCGTCAAGCAACGAGAAGTAGTGATACTTGATGAGACAAAACGGCTGCATGGGAGACCAATTCCCTACGGGCTGAGACGGTTATTGTGTCGTCACGAAAGGAGCCTCCCCGCAAAAAAAGCTGGAGAAGCACTGCGTGACAAAACAAAGAACTGCTGCGCAGGACTAACATGCCGACATAATAATACAAAATCTTGATACTGTTATAAGAGTTTACTATTGACAAACTGATACAACGAAAGTAGTTCACAAAGGGCTAAAAAGAAAAAAAAACAAAAACAATACTTTCACACCTTGCGCTTTGCAGTCTATATTTGTAGAATGCTATTCGAAGGAAATCAAAACGGCGCCAAAGTTAAAGACTCCCCTTATTAGGACTGGGGCCTAGATACTTCTTCAATCATTATCCGAGATACTGAATTCCACCCAGTGTGAGCATCACCCAGGGTCACGCCAGTACACTTTCCTACCCATAATTCCACTCTAACCGCGCCTTGTGGGATGTTTTCACAGTACCCCTCAAATGACCGATGATGCAGCAGATTAGGGTTCCCAGATGGCCAGGAATTGTAAACAACAGCCTCAATTGTCATTTGCCCACTGCATTCATTTCCATTGAACTTGAAATACCAGCGATTACACTTAGAACTAAGACCATCGACCCTCATGTTTCCCTGGAATGAGACTCTGAGCGCTGAATTAGACTGGAGTTTGTTAAACGCACAGTCCTGGAATAAAAATCAAACAAATCAAACATATTGTAGTAAGGCCAGCAACCCAACCTCGTCCCCAGGGCTTTTCCCTCAAAAAAATGGGTGGGGCGGGAAAAGACCCCCTTTTCCCGCCCCACCCATTTTTTGAGGGAGAAGCCCTGGGGACGAGGTTGGCGAGCAACCGAGTGTAATGATTGATACTAACGACTCCGGTCAAGATTACTTCCTAATTTTTAAAAACTCTGTAATAGCTTCAATTTTCGTTGTACTTATCCATATGGCCAGGAATCATTTTATCACCCAAGATTGCTTTCCTTTTTTCGTTCAAAAAGAATTAAAGTAGAGAGAAATGTAACTTAGTTATTTATGTAAGGTGTTGGCAAATGGTGAGTGAGAAGGGAGACGTTCTTCTTTGAAATGTTTTGATTTATAGAGGAATTACTTTCCTTTGGAGTGTGTCATGATTCTTATTCTAATTACCTTAATCTTTCCGTTATTAGTACTGGTGTCTGATTTCCACACACATTGTTTCCAGTTGGTTTGTGGTACTACACTTGCTTGACTTGCTTTGACGCTTTCTCCTTTCTCTCCTTTGTCTCCTTTTTGTCCTTGATTTCCCGCAATGCCTCGCTGTCCTTTCATTCCCACAAGTCCCTGTTCACCTTTTATCCCCTTGATTCCTCGGGGTCCACTCTTTCCAGGGGTGCCTTCGCGTCCTCTGTCTCCTCTTGGACCCGGCATTCCTTGTGATCCTTTATCACCAATTTGTCCCTTAGTACCGTCCTTTCCGTAGGGTCCTTGAGGCCCGGGAACGCCTGGCATTCCCGGCAACCCATTGGATCCAGGGATGCCCGGGAAGCCCACTATAGACCGCTGAAAAAAAGGATGATTTGCAGTTAAATGTAGAGACGAAGAAAAACTGAAAACTGAGCGTTAAATACCATGACCCCAATTAGTTATGTGATAGGACAAGCAGGGAACAATGGAATAACCAATAGGCCATTTTCGAGTTCCCCCGAGGCCTCTGTATCAAAAAGAAATTAAGTGCTCAGTCGTTGATATACAAATGATTTTTCACTCTCATGCAAATAAAACTCATTTTCACAAGAAGGTTGTGTGCTTGGCCTCATTTTGAAAGTAAGGGTTTTTGGAACTCGCAATTAAGTGGCCTGCAGTCAATATGTGCTAAGGGAGAAAAAATGAAATAAAAGAAGCTTAACAGTTAACCTCGGACTTCAGGTTTTTCGTGCATGAAAGATAATGTTCAAAAAGGACTTTTTAATAAATTGGAATGCATTTGCAAATGATAATATGGCGATGATAAAGTAGTAAAATATATGGTTTAGTCCCTTGGGCGTACCTAATCCACGGCGTACTCTCATATTTATCTTCGTGTATTTCTTACCTCACATAAATCTTTTGACTTTGAATTGTTTTGTTGCTGAGGTGAGGTGGTTGTTCTCGGTGAACCGCCAGGAATACAGAGAATCAACAAAACAGCGAAATACTGAGCCATCGTACGAGCTGAACCAGACCACCTCAATGACTGAAATCAGTGCTACGTGCGCATCATTTAAATAGTGCGAAGTATTTGAAAGTCAATCTTCTGTTCCTGTTTATTGTTTGCTTGGTTTTGCTTGCTTCCTTTTCCTTTTCCTTTTATGGTAATTATCTTGCAAAGTGTAACTTTCTGTTTATATGCTTGCGTGCAAGGAGAACTGAAAGAGGGTCAAAAGATGAACATTCCAAACACAAATTAATGACAGTAAAGTTTTACAAAGGCAAAAATTTTTCCATAGTTATGCTTTCTGTTGCTTTGTGTTCCTAACAGGAGCCCTTTCCTTTCCTCTCCAGCACTCCAAAAACTTTTAGGCGATGAAAAAACTTTGCGTTCAGTCTAAGTTAGTCAGTGTTAGGTCAGAAAAATTAGAGTTTCCTTTTAGCTGCAGCTCAAAACTTCCTTAATTTCTTTAGCAAGTGTTTGTATGTCTAACTTCCTTCTGTCAGTTATACCGGCACGTAACGTCATGCATCAAACTCAACTGTTTGGTTGTTTTAAGATGACCCCCTAAGATAAAAAATGAAAAAAATAAGAAAAATAATAATAACAAAAAACATGTAGGTGTTGAATTTTGCGAAAGCATCTCCTTCCTCTACTGCTGTGATCAGGCTGTTGAGGAGGCGTGGTGTTTTTTAACAAAAGAAAGTTTCTTTTAGAATGCTCGGTGAAAGATTCTGATCGATAAAGCAACGTCAAAAAATGAATTACTCATAGCGATGATGACTTTTATTTCCATTTTCTCTTGCTATACAGTTGCTTGTTCAGGAAACCACAAACTTTGAGCTGTGACCTGTAAACGTGGTTCCTTTTTACCAGGTGATGTTAAGTGTAAACATGGGTATTTTATAATATCGTGGTTTACATCCAGCGGAATAAGCGCAAAGCCTTTAATGAAAAATGCTTTCGTGTATGCATGCATAGAGCTGAAATATGGTGATATTTCAGTGCAAAGACTTATCTCTGATTTTGTTGTATTAAGCTGCATTTAGCATATTTAGGGATATCGTTAGCCTGTCCGCGGCTTCGCAAAAGCCTCATTCCTTTCCGTTCGAGCTGAATAGTCGCGTTTAATTTCCTTTGCAAATACCTTGCTACTATTAATACTAGCTGAAAAGGAAGTACACTTCTATCATCATCACCAAACATGTGTAGGGAGGTAAATTAAGGTCTTGTTTTCTATGGAAACACTAATTGATATGAAATCATAATAATCAGACTGTGGAAACGCACGTCCGATTAAGTATAATTTAGAGTAGAAATTTTTGTATTAGAACTTTTTATCCCATTTTTCACTGTTAAAGACAACTCTACATCTTAATTGTAAGATAAGTCCTCAGAACGCCGCTAGCGCTCGATGCAGCATTTTTGTTGCAGCAACTTTTAGGAGACCTTCACCCTACTTTTTGCAATGGATACTTGCTGCAAATTTGTTGCGAGACCATATGTTAGAGGCTGTTCAGCTTTCACCCCACGCTGTTGGAACAGATGTCAAGCATGGACACGAATTGGAACATGTAAAAAGTTGGGACAATTTGTTTCAAGTTTAACTAGTTTCTAAAATCACCAAAAATATTATTATCATGGTTATTCTTCCCTGTGAAATTTGTTTGAAATCTCCGACAAATCTCTAACAAGTCATTTTGTGTATAGGTTAAATGGCACTTACTAATCAGTATGACTTCCGCACAGGATTGACTTTAAAACAACAATATCCTCATGACATGTCCCCTTCAACCCTTTAAGCCCCAACTTTATCCAAATACAAATTCTCCACACTGATCTCCATACATTTCCTTCAAGAATTGGTTAAAAGAATTTATTTGTTGATCAAAGCTCTGCCCATCAGGTGATCATTTCATTAATTCTCGCAGCAGTTTCTCTTGATTATGTAGTATTGACTCTGTTAGGAGAAAATTGACTTTGGTCATTCTTGGGACTTGAGGAGTTAAGCAACTACTGCAGAGGAAGTTTCCCTTGTTGAAAAAACCGTGCTCTTGTAAGAAGAGGGCTTTAAGCCAGGTTACACGTTATGATTTATAAGAACGATCTCGAATCTCTTGAACGAAAAACAAAAAGATAAAAACTGGCCTAAACCAGATAGATATTAAGTATCTGCTGCAAGATAATTGGAGCAATTTTTGCAATCACCAAGAGAATATGACTACGTTTATGAACTCTGGCTATTTCGTAAATAAGTGGGCGATTTCTATATTTTCTTTTGAGTGTGTTATTCATGTTTCTTATTCCATTTACGTATACCTTAATTTTCCCGTTATCAGTACCGCTATAGCTACATGATTTCGACACACATTGTTTCCAGTTGGTTTGTGTTACTACATTTGCTTGACTTGCTTTGGCGCTTTCTCCTTTCTCTCCTTTGTCTCCTTTTCTTTCTGTTATAAAAATAACAACTGTAGATAGTCTACATTAGCTCTCTAAAGATCGCTGAACGAACCATTTGAAACCTTTTGAGTTTAATCAGGGTCACCAATTGAGAATATAGTTTATAACCTCTTAAACATATCATTGTTGACCGTATTTTAGTAATTAAACAGTAGATATAGGCATATTTTTATCCCCTAAAAATTTTTCATCTGTTTGGATTTCCTAGCTAAAATTATAGTGATCCGAAAATTATAGGGATCAAAACTTGCCTTTTCCAAAATTTCAGCCGGAAAAATGGCTCCCGAAAATTATAGGCGACCTTTTTAGGATAAAAATACGTTAAAAATGGGGAATTATACCTTTTTTTAGATGTTCAAAAATCCTAGCAGAAGCCATCCTCGGAGACCCAGGGGCAGATAGTGGGGACGAGGGAAAGTCTAAACGGGCGGAAAAATATGACACGAAGAAAAGTAAAGAACGGCGAGAAGAGCTCTTCTCGCCGTTCTTTACTTTTCTTCGTGTCATATTTTTCCGCCCGTTTAGACTTTCCCTGGCCCCCTTTATCTGCCCCTGGGTCTCCGAGGATGAGCAGAAGCAGGCAAGCAAGAAATTTTACAAAAAATGTTTTTAAAATTCTAGATCTCAAATCGTCTTCCGATCAGATATTTTCCGAAAATTGACGTTGGGTGCGCCTGTTTAATTAAGAGAAGTTTAAAAACCTTTCAAAGTTTTTTTTTGGATGAATTTTAAGATAAACTTGAAATTACTATCCTTGATGACGTAACACTATGACAACTGTAAAGTTTCTACTGAGGTTGTTACCAGATTAGATCACTGATTGAATCATTTAAAACTTACAGACTCAATTGATGTTTATCATTTTCTAACTAATTTTGGGGGTTAAGTTATTTTTAGTTGGATCGAGCACAACTGGAGTTTAAAGCTAATCAAGACCGAATGAAAATCAAAGGATCAATTCTCTATAATAAACTTTTTCAGAGTGATCTCAGAAGTAGAAATGTGTCTTTTCATTCTTCGTTCTTGTCGCCACATGTATGAATTATAAGCCACCGGTCTCGTAATCAAAATATTTCTTTACCACTGTCCCATTCTGTTTCACTTCAGTGACCTGCTTAGCCTCCATCTATTGATATAATATTCTGTTGAAACAATGGAAACGATGCCTTAATTTCCATGTACTTATTCAGCTTCCTTGAGTGATACCCCACTGCTACCTGGGTTAATCAGATGCAAGAAATGCATCGGATGTGCATAACGATAATGTAATTCAAAAGTGATTTGAAAGCGCCTCACTGAATATAAATAACTATGCTGGTTGGTGCTTGAGATTGAGTGTGAGATTGTATTTTGCCATTTTAGGTGTTGGCAAGAGAAGTTTGGAGTGCGCTGGTTTTACTGATCTGCCCAAATCATCCGGGTGGTATCCCAAATATATAGGGAACAGAACAATAGAGGAGACGTCAGCCAATCAGGAAATACTGACGTCACTATAACTGATAAAACTGATTGGACAATACGGATTCTTTTATCTTTATTGTTCGTTGTTGTGATTTGAAATGGCAAAGGGAAGTTCTTTGAATGAAACTTTTGCAGGCCTTCTCGTTAAATTGAAACTTTTATTAAAGAAATAATAAGAAAGAGAAAGAAACGGCATTCTGATTATCGATGCTGGCATTCTCAGTTTCATCAAAAAGCGACATATATATCGATCTGTCTTATCTTTGCGACATATATTATATCTATAAATTCTCCCTTGTTTTGGCGAGGCAGGTAAACTGCGTTAATTCTTTAAAAGAACTAATCGGATGAACCGAAGCTAACCAATAAACTGTGAACATCAGATCAGAATAGAGCTGAACTAAAATCAACGACTGTCTGAGCGGCCGACAGGTTCATTTATAGTTTATTACTAGAACGTTAGGGCGTAAACAGAACGACAAAAACTGTAGTGTACACAAAGACCACGTTTCATTTAACCACTGATTCTAAGCTAGAGAAGAGAAAACGACGTTTAATTTAACGACGAATTTAAAAAACGAGCTAACATGTACAACGCAAAAATTTGGCATTGGTTTTCGCCAAACCAAAATTGATTCATAGTGTGTTTATGTTTTTTGTGCGAGTTTGTTTTTAAATTCATAAAAATAAAACTTTGAACGTGAGTTATAACACCCTTTGTTTTAGATAAAAGCTAGAAATGCATATTGTTACTGTAGTTGCGGAAACTATTGTTAGTTAGTTGTGGTCGATGGTGAACTTAAAACAAGACTTACTATTATTTTGTATTTTTAACTCGTTATTTTTCAAAACGGCCGTACATTTTCTTTCTTTTTAATTTTGGCACAACATCGTCTCTTCTTTCTTCTTTTAATAGGGAGCTCAAGCAAAGGCGTTCGACGTACGTCAAATTTCTTTTACTAATAGTCTTTGCCCAAAAATTTAGGCATCATCGGCATACTGCTCGGCAGAATACTGCAGAAGGATGCTAAAAAAAACTCACTTTCGGTTGACGTGCGTCCGGCTCAAAACGTCTTTTAAGCTCACTATTAAAATGCTGAATAATATCAACATGTAGAACGTTGCGTTTCTACTTCTCCTTTTCTCACTTGATCTCCCAAACCTGCGTCAAGGGCGGCGCTTGAATTTGTGGTTTCCCGTTCACGCGGGTCTTCATTCCCCCTAGGTTTTCTTCACCTTTTTAAAGGTGCTTAAATAATAAATAAATATTTATTTCTTTTATTGCGTATTTTAACATTAAAAGATTTGATCAAGTGCGCACTGAGTACTTATAATAATAATAATAATAAATTCTTTATTCATCAAGACATAAAAATACATATCTTTTGATACAAGTAAGTGTAAGAACTTAAAAAGTTAAAAAGTAAGAATTAAAAAAAATATATACCGGTATATATATCTAGTATATTACATAGCTAATTCATATTTAAAAACTAAACGATTAATAAAAGAGTTTTTGAAGCGCATAGTGTTAATCTTAGGTTTAAAACAAGTTTCTTTCCTAAGATTGTAGCTAGAGGGTTTAACACGAGGCATAATAGATAAAAGTGGATGTCCTTTGGCATTAGAAACTTTTTTGAAAATTTTACGGTCTTGCCTCTATGAAATCATAAACACTTACAGGCTTAGACGTATATTTCCTTTTAAAACAGCGGTCTAAGAAACATTGTACGGGTGTAAGATGGGACTCGGACGCGGCGTAGACAGATAATGCGTAATTAATATTAGGTAGAACTATAGTATTAAAGAGAAGGTCTCTTTCTGACTGATTGTACCCTTCTTTGCGCAGCGTTCTAAGGATATGTAGGGATTTGTCAGCTTTAATAAGTTTGTTCTTCACGTGCACTGAAAATTTGCTGTCACATTGGAAGGTGACGCCCAAAATCTCAACTTCTTTACAGCTTGGTATCATCCCAATAGGTGAATAGAGATCGTGGTTGCCTCTCTTTTTGATCGTCAACTCTTTACATTTGCTTGGGTTGCAAGACATTCCATTTGTGTTCGTCCAATCTACCTCCTTCCATACAGGAGCATTAATTGTCGAATCATCAGCGTACTTAAATAGCGCGTCATGATTACCTAAAGTGATGCGATGTAATACATTCAGCCGGATCTCCACTGACTAGTTACCCGCAAAATGCGTAGAGAATATTCAGTTATGCATGTTGCTTGTTAAGGGGTGCACTGGTTGGTAATACATTCTAAACCAGAATCATTCATTTTATACAGTCAGTAGAACTTAGCAGCGCTCAGGAAGTAATAAGTTATTAAGTCACTTCAGTTGCCACTTCAGTACAGCTCCAAGAACAATTATCTGCTAAAAAACAAATCTACTCTTAATTTAAAGGCTCCAGGCGAGAAAGATTATTACGAAAGCTTAGGGCAGAAAAAAAATGCCATATAAAATTATTAAGTAAACGTGTCGGCAAACTAGAGGATGCTTGTTTATAATCATTTTTGTCTTCAAATCTGTTTGTCAGCAGATCTCATTTTTGCTGCAAAATCAAACGTTCTAAGATGATCGCCTTGTGCCTACCTTAATTTGCCCGCTAGCAAAAGCAAAAATCAGAAACAAACAAATAAACAAACAAAAATAAGTAAATAACACCCTTTTTACAGGCTAGAACAAGAAGCATACAAAACTACACTCGTTTTTATAAATAACGAATTATCATCCTTTTCGAAAATGGCCAATTCAAATTCAATTGAAGACCCGGGGGATTCCCTTACTTCTTTAACCTAAAAGGTTATGTGCCACTGAACAACAGGAAGTTGGTTTTAGGTCTCACCAGTGAGTCTCAAACAGGGTCAACTAGTTCACTATTTTGCGTCGTTAACAAGGTTAATTTTTGGACCGGATGCCTTTTAGAGAGTGTGAAAGTTGGGCCTACTTTTGTGCTATCGTTTAAAAAAAATGCTTTATTCTGTTTGCGAAACGAAATGAGTTAGGGTCATAAAATAATGTCTCTTTGTCTTAAACAGGGTACGGCCAGGTTACTGTAAATATCAAGTCTAATTAGCACGAAACAAAACAAACCAACTTTCGTCTCTTTCTCAGTACTTGCTGGTTGTCGCGAAATTGGACACGCCATTTTGACGCCCGTACTAAAACAGCAGGTGCATAGCTAAGGACTGTTCCGAGTTACGGGAGCCAATCTAGACATACGAAAATTGCTAGCCACTGAAAATGGCTAAACATCTACCCCTCCTCAGGGTCGGTGAATAGCGCTAATAAGACTCGATCGACGCTTATTGCGTCGTGGTTTATCCCGCCTCTTGGGAAGCTAGTTGTGCTCCAGTTCACTACGAAATAAAATAAAATGGCGTAAGTAGGTAGGTAAGTAACATCTTCATTAAAGTGTCAATGTATTTAGTTTTCACAACTAACTGGGGACACAAGAAAAAAGTTAAAATTATTTATAAATAAGAAATAAAGAATGTAATACAATCAAAATATGTAGCATTTA